GAAGGGTCTAGGCCCGAAACATCAGCCTTCCTGCTCCTATGATGCTTCTTGGCCTGCTGTGTTCATCCAGCTCTACACCTTATTATCTCAGATTTTCCAGCATCTGCAGTTCCTTCTATCTCTGATACCTTTATATCGAGGATGGTTTACCTGAAATGACTCTGTGTATTTACCACCTGAATGTGCATCATATATTGGAACATGCAGTTAAAGCATACATGTCCTTTGTTAGCCTTGGAAAGGTTAGTTGGAGATTCCACACCTTAAAGACAGTGAAAAAATTTCTGAAAATAGTTAGCACTCGCATCGACACTGTGTAGTACCGGCATCAAACAATTTACTTAACCATTATCCAGATTTATGAGATACCTTGCATTTTCATGGCACCTCTAAGTTCCAAAAGTGATGGCCTTTGGCCCTTTTATGAACTAGTGCAATGCTGTGCTGCCATGAGCCAGAGATGTAGGCCATCCTTTCCAACAATTGGCTGATCAAGTCAGACAGCATGGTCCTTCAGTTGCCTGTAATATGCAAAGTAGAGACTATACTCACCAACCCATCCTTCGTTATGCCTCAGTGGTCTAGCACACTGAAAATCAGCCCTGCTCTTCCTGGAGTTGTGACAAAAGTTAACGATCCTAAAAAGTATGTGGAATTTCCCAATTTCCCTGTCTTTTATACCCAGGGTGACAGAAAAGATGGACCAGGTTTCTGTATTTAACAAGAATGACTGACTATTGAATATATATGAACAGATTCTAGCTCCATATAAAGAATTGTGAACCATCATATATAACTCTACCAGTTAAAACTGTACATTCTCATAAATTCCTGCTCTATGCACACATATGGACAGACACAAACAAATAAAAATGGTGTATGGATAGAAGGAAAAACTGGGTAAGCAGTTCAACAGTCCCGATTCACTGTGTGTGTTTGTGCTAACCATAATGTGCTTCATGATCTTTGAAAGTACTTGGATTGCAAGTGCTGGGAAGAAGGTCTAGTGTAAATTTAGAATATTTTTGTTGGTGTAGACTCAATGAATTGAATGGCCTCTTCTGAAATGTATGGTTCTATGATCTTCCTTTTCCAGTTTGCAGTAGGTACAGGGTGATTGGTTCCAACATATAAAAATCTCTGACTTATCAATTAAAAGTCACAGTTTACAGGAACTGAAAAGGGAAAAGGCTGTCTTCAAGCTTAAGATGTTTTAACTGCAGAGTCAAAAAGAGTTGCTCCTCCTCCATAGTCTGATGGTTTCTGCCAAAACATTCACACCCCTAAACTGTTCAGCTAACTGGAAGCTAATAACATAGTTGTTGGCAGACAGGAGTCCTTTGTCGTTGATAACTGGTCCCTTGTCCATAGACCAATCAGCTGCTTGTTGACTGCAAAAGCGCCCCAGCTCATCAGTGAACTAGACTGCCACTGCTATTTGAACAAGCAGCCATGTAAAAGTACTTCGAATAAGTGTTAGCTTACATACTTTTACAAAATGCATCAATCCAGCAAGATCCATTTTTTAAAAACTGTTTGTTTCCTATTTCAGTCCAACTCAAAAACGAAGAAAAATAAAAAAAGTCTTTACATCTCCACTAAACTCCGAGCAAAATGTTTTCTGAAGCATGTAATTCTTCAAATCATGTCACTTGCTGAGTAATGCTGAACATGGTTATAACTATACTAACAACACACTCGTCATAATCAGTCAAGCTCATGATAATGCAGAGTATTTGCAATTGCTGGGAGTAACACATATTCACATATACGGACCCATTGTGTGCTAACAAAACAAACATGTTCAAATCTTGTGTTTTATATATTGCTTGAGAGTTTGAGAAGCCAATAGCTCCCATTACTTTATCTATGGCGATGCCTCACCAATCAGGATTTTAACTTGCCAACCTATAAGCATCATATTTTCCAAGAGGATAATTTTTTGTGTTCACCTGAACTTTGGCATCTTGCATTTGTGTTGATTAGTGCAGATCAAAAAGTTTCAGCAACAACTCTCTTCAATATTCAAGATCTGAAAATCTAAGATTGCTGATTACATTACATAGCACAGTAAATATAACAGATGAGAAAAGCAAGTTTCGAAGAGGGAAGGATGGATTATCTCATTTATCCAAACTGAGTTTAATATAGGGAAGTGTGAAGTCATTTACTTTCAATTAAAATATTTTCCAAATAGTGACAAATTAAGAACTATGAATGAGCAGAAAGAATTACAGCTCAACATATAGAATGTGCTGAAAGGCGACTGAATTTAGATTGCTAATGGGAAGGTAGTTATATCTTGAGAGGGCTGGTGCAAAGTTATGGAACAACTACGTGAAAGTCTCACTATACCCTGTTGGGAATACTGCATTCAGTTCTGGACACTATCTGCACCTCAACGAGGACATAATGGTCTTGTTCAAGCTGGAATGCAGATTCACCAGAATGATCCCTGGGCTAAGGTGTTAAATTATGAAGGCAAGTTTCATAGACCAAGCTTATATTCCCTTGAGTTTTGATAATACAGAAGGCATGCAGATGTTCAATTGGCAGCCTGCTTACCATCTGAAATCACTAATTAACAAACTACTTGGATTGTAAACAACCCACCCAAGCATAAAAATACATTGGGAGTCTTTTATAAGTATAGAAAAGGTCTGTCACTGGGACCGTAGTTGAACATAACAACAGGTTCTACTGGGGAAGGCAGTAGTTTTTGGGTGGCATGGTGGCTCGGTAGTTAGCATTGCTATCTCACAGCACCAGGGACCAAGGTTTGATTCCAGCCTTACATGACTGTCTGTGTGGAGTTTGCACATTCGTCCCATGTCTGTATGGGTTTCCTCCCGCAGTCCAAATGTGCAGGTTAGGTGGATTGGCCATGCTTAATTGCCTATATTGTCCAGGGATGTCTAAGCTAGGTGTAATAGCTGTGGGAAATGCAGGTATAGGGTTGGTCTGGGTAGGATGCTCTGCAGATGGTCAGTATGGACTCAATAGGCTGAATAGCATCTTTCTGCACTGTAGGAATTCTATGATTTTAAAAAATCACTTTTGATCTTTATTTTCAATGATTCCTAAAGACTGATTCTGAGAGCAAGGGGCCTTTACAATTCTAACAGTATTTGTGGCATCACTCCTCTGCATCATGCTGTCCTAGCCAACAGCACTTACTCTCACAGCCAACCAATAATGTAAAGCACATTAAAGTATGATTCATACTGTGAATGTAGCTGCCACAAAAAAAT